CCTTCCAGTTGTCCGCCCAGGAGAGCAGGCGCCGGCGCGGGGCCGGCAGCTGGACGTGCCTGTTGTGGCAGCAGGTGAACAGGATGTGCTCCCAGCTCGGGTTCGGTTCTGCGCCTGGGGAGGGAAAAGGGGAAAACTGGAGTCAGCTGGGGGTGACTCCCCGACCAACAGCCGACGATGGAAGCGCTGTTCAAACCTTGGATGGTGTCCTTGTCGTCAAACAGCAGGTCAGCAGCTACGACGGTCTTATCTCGGGTCAGAATAATCCTCTCCACAAACTCGGGCCCCAGATGTTTCTCTACCCACTTATACTGCAGAGACAAGGAGTAAGAGAAAATCCAGCTGTAGGCTCGGTTTGCATGTTGCTCGTGCCAGGTCAGCCCTAACGCAGTCATTTTTTTTCCCCTGTAAGCCCACAGCTGTGTCTAGGAATCCCCATGTGGTGACTGGCTACTGCCCAGGACTGATTTAACCTGTGGCAGCCTTCACTCACAGCCTTCACACACAGCTTTCACTGCCCTGGCTGTGCTGAACTGTTGAGTTTGTGAGCAGCACTGGCTGCTTGCCCAGAGCACGTGGATTGTGCCCATCCAAGTCACTCCACTGACCAAAGTCTCCCCTCTCTTCTCGTGCCAGTGGCAAACAGGACTAATTCCAACACCACAGCCTCCTCAGCTCAGCATTGGCCTTTTTTGGGGCAGCTGGGTATCTCAGTCTCCAGATTTAGACAGAAAGTTTTGTTGGTTGAGGATTCTCCAGCGTGGAATCCCCTGGGAATACCCTTTCCTGGTAAGGAACTACACCAGTTCCTTTGCTATCACCTCCTGACAAGCTGGTCCCAGCCCAGCTGCAAGAGCCCAGGGCTCACGTGCTCCACAGTAATTCTGGCAGCCTGTGGCACTCTGAGATTCCCCATCCTGAGCTACTGCTCTGTGCCTGGGCAGCTGTTCCTCGGACAGGGATCGAGGGAAGCCTGGCAGCTGGAGCAGCCACTGCTTTTATAAAGGAATGTCTCCGTCTTGGGTGGTATGAAATAGCAAGACTTTGCAAAAGCACCATTAAACCCAGCAAAACAAATTCTCTCCCACCTTTTCCACAATGCAGTGCTCGTATTTCCGGAGAGGACTCGTGCAAATGAAGACCTGGGTGCTGAAAAGGAAACAGCCTTCATTAGCAGTCAGGGGGGACAGTGTGTAAGGTCATGGAGGAGGGCTGCAGAGTGTCCTTACTCCTGCATGTGGATCATCTCTTTCATAGCTTCAAGGGCTCCTGGAACCGGATCCAACTTCAGGAAGAAGCCAGGCGACTCATAGACACTGGCTACCTTAGCCTGCAAGAGGCAGAGGACAGTCAGCAGTGCCTGTGCTGTGATCCAAGATGTCCCAGCAGTTCTCCAGTTATCCCGTGTGCCACAATCAGCAAAGGGCTCCCTTTGCAGAGGGTGGTGATGCTTCCACCCAGGAGGGGATTATAAAATGTCTCACCTTGTGGGTTCCAGAAAAAGTCCAGCTCAGGCACACAAGAAGTCCCTCCCTGGTGGTTCGTTTGGAGTGAGGAGGCAGAGCTGACCCTGACCTGGATTTGTTTCAGCCCTGACCCACAGCTGGAATCGCTGAGCTCTGACAGAGGGAGAGTTCCCTCCTCACCCCTCCCAGCAGGTCTCTCTGGACTAACTCTTGAGAAAACCAAAGGAACAAGTTGGAGGCTTCTGCTCCTCTGTCACGCTTGGCTGAGATTTGCTGATGACTCAGGAATTTACCAGGGACAGACACATGCACTGCCCAATATCCCTCTTTTCCTCTGGAACAAGCAGGGCAAAGTGGTGACCGTGCCTCTGGCCAGGGCAGCACACCCACACATTTGGGGTGAATCCCTTCAGCAAGTGAGTGTAAACATGAAAGAAACAAGATTAGTGGAGGAGCAATGTTATCCCATCTTGGCTAAAGTACCCAAAAAATGGTACAGAAAGGTATTTAATATAATACAGCACAGTGGCATTTATAACCTCTAAAAGGAAATGCAGTATTTCCAGAGCAATTCCCCTGCCTTTAAGTAGGACTGTCTCTCTAGTCTTCTTTTTTTTTTTTTTTTAAATTTACTGATAAGACATTTTCATACATTTTATTCTTAGAAAATTCATTGGTTTGAATCCAGTTCTGGTTAGTTAATTTAAAGATTGCTCTCTGTTGACTGTTCAGAGTGACCTGTGTTAAATCAGTGTTTCAGAGTAGTCACAGCCCATGGGTTTTCTCCCCCCTTATCACACCCCCATCATGGCAAAGGATCCACAGCAGTGCTGAGGCCGCTTCCAGGATTAAGTTTGACTCTCAGACAGAGAGGTTAAGCTTCCAGTATCTCTTCTACTCTGAGACGCACAAATCTTACCTTCCCTGGAGTCAGACTGTGAACTTCAGAGGTGTCAAAACAGCATTTTTCCACCAGCATTAAAGTCCTACGTTCCCATGCCACTGAACAATTTTGAAAACTTAATTCTGGTTAAGTATTCTTCAAAGGCAGGCTGCAGCCTTTGCTCAGAAATGGTACAAGGCAGTTTTACAGTCCAGCTGATGGTCTCTTTGCTCTGAATCACCAGTGGAACATCAACATAAAACCCACTTCAATTAAGAGGCAATGAGGTGTTGGCATTAAACCAGTCTCCCAGATCCTGAAGCTCACTCAGTTATCATCATCTGCAAATACTCATAAATCAACAGCCAGAAATTTGGAAGCCCTGTCTGATTTCACACGCAAATCAGAGGAGGTTGAGGAGTCTCTGGGTGCAGACGTGGCAATCAGATCTGCCCAGATCTCTGTTTCCATGCAAAGCCTCCCTGATCCCAGCAACAATTCCCTGGAGCTCTTCCCAAGGAGATTGAATTACAGACTCAGGGCTTGTGTCTGAAAGCTCTTTTATCCTACAGCAAGTCACCAGAAACTGGCAAGTTTCCACTACGTCACAAAAAAGTCTGGCTGTGCTGGCAAATGAAATTCGATTTGATGACTCTTAGAATCAAAAGCCATTTCCCTCCCCCCACCAAGAAACAAAAAGTGACTAGAAACTGAAAGTAAAACCATTTTCTTTCCTCATTTTCATGCCATCAGTGCTGAACGTTTCCTTTTAACTTCCATTAGCAAGATAACAACTTGGATGCAAAACTGGAGTGGCTACCTCTATCCCTAAGCTTTCCCGCTGGCACTTAAAAAAACAATTCTAGACACTTAAAAATAATTCTAGAAAATGTTGCCCCTGCTGGAGGTGTTGAATCCTTCTTTGAAACTCTCTGGGGCCATCCTAAACTCCTGGGAGATAAGTCCCTATCAAAATGGCTGCACACACAGGAGGGCAGATAGGCAAGAGCGGTAAAGAAAGTTCTGAACAAAATAAAAATGGATTAATAGTCTTCCTAAATAAAGTGGATTCACAATGTGAAATTAACGATCAAAACAGAAATAAAACCCCAAGCAATGGCTCCAGTTTCAAGGGGCAGCTGCTCAGCACTAACAGAGCATAAACACCCCTCAGTTAGAGGCGATCCATAAATCATCAGCATGGCACTTCCCACCCCCTGGCATGAGGGTATCCCACACCCTGGCAGTTCATGGACGGGCACAGCCGACACCTGCCACGAAGAGCCTGGTGCCCAGCTGATCCCCGGTGTCCTGCTGATCCCCTCCTTTCAGCACTGACAAACTGCAGGCTCAGTTTCCCTGCACGGACAGGAGGCCCCACAGACCCCCCGGCACAGCCTGGAAAATCCATCCTCAGTGTCTGGGCTGCTGGTTCCTGCTGAAGCTTTTCCTGCAGCTGTGGGCGAGGAGGGACCTTCCACAGGGATCCTCTTGCCTCGCAGACACCCTGCACAGCCACGGCAGAACTAACAAGGGCTCTATTTTTAAACTATTTGATGATTTTTACATAAAACCCAAAGGAGCTTCAAATCTTAAAAACTTTACTGTGTTGGCTAAAGCAGCCCAGAGCTCACTTGGAGGAGACAGACACACAGCACAGCTCCATAAAGCTAATTTCCTTAGGAAGCCAGGCTGGTAATGAACAGCAAGATAAGGGCTTTCTATCACTGCAGATCTGCGTGGGACTCAAACCAGTTATCTGGTTATTCCATTGCCACACCTAAGGTCTGGGGAGAAACAGGATGAACATGAACTAAATTAGGAATTGGGAATGCCAGAAATAGAACAAAACACAATTTTCTAGGTAGATCAGATTGTAGACCTTTCAAATAAGGACAAATAAAAATGCAAGACCCCTTTAATTACCTGCAATTTTTTTTGTCCATATATACCTAAATGGGATTCACTTAAGGAATACTCATTTAAACAATAAATCATGTAAAATAATAACCAAATTCATGCCTACTCCCTATATTTACAGGTTCCTAGGTCCAGGAACTTCTCAGCATCAATAGTCATTGATTAGAGCTCGGGCAGTTTGGAGCCTGTGGAAATGCTGACTGGACCCAGCACTCCTATCCATCACCCTGGTGCAGGAGCCTGGAACAGGAGGGAAATCAATGTGAATTGCTATTTCTTAGCAGTAAAAAACCCTACAGGCTCAATACAGGGCCTTAAAATTAGCAATGAACTTCTCAAGGAAAGTGTATGGCACAGCCTGGATCAGCATCCACTGTCTCTGTAAAGAGTCCTCGACTGTCGTGTGGTGACCAGAGGGAAGGGTGAAGGATTCACAGTATTTTTTGTTTTGCCTTGCAAACCTCTCTGATATTCATTCACTCATCAGCAGACATTAAAAATGGCAACAGTTTGCATGGATGTAGGGTGTTGTAGACCTTTCTGCATGCTGCTCCTCATCATCACCTGCCGTGCACTCTGCCTGTCAGGGCACGCAGAGGGAACATGGACACAGGATTTCATGAGCTGTACAAACCCATATATAACATTTATATTTCTTGTCCTGCTGTGGAGCCACATTAACACTCACAGAGCACTCAGGGAGCTTTGGGTAAGTTATTACTCCTGCTGCTCAGCAAGAGCCAGGAACACGAGCAGGGTAAAGAACAAGCTGAACATGGTACAGTGAAGAGTTTTATGACAGAATTGCTCTTTGCCAATTCCTGCACACATTTCCCTGTAAAGGGCTGGTGATCCTCCTGGAAGAAGTCATTAATTATCACTGTAAAAAATAAGGCTGCATGAAATGCAAAATTAAAAATACTGTGAATCCAGGCTTCACCCTTCCCGCTGGTCACCGCAGGATAGTCTAATCAATTGGTGCTCAAAAGTTCCTGGAATTAGGAAAAATATAAATATAGGGAGTAGGCATGAATTTGGTTACTATTTTACATAAACATGATTTATTATTTAAATGAGTATTCTTTAAACGAATCCCATTTAGCCATACATGGACAAAGGAAGTTGTAGGTAACTTAAGGGGCCGTGGCTGTTTAAAAAATACCGACCCGACCCCGACCTTTGCACACCCAGGGTGGGCAGGGAGAGGTTTCCGGGCTGGGTGAGGAGGCTGAGGCTCGCACTCACCTCCAGGTCCTCCCGCAGCTGGCGGTACTGCTCCCGCACCGAGAAGCCCCTGCGCTCCGCCAGCTCCACGCGCGGCTCCGCCGGGAAGCGGGCGCGGAATTCCCGCAGCACCGCGCCCTCGAAGTCGGCCAGGACTCCGTCCATGTCCACGAGCACCCGCAGCGGCCTGGCCGCGCTGCCCATCCCGATCCCAGATCCTGCTTCCCGGCACACGCGAGCGATGCGGGCGGCAGCGCCCCCGGCTCCGGCACACGTGGGATGATCATGCATATGCATGAGCGCTCATTAATATGCATGAGATGGGCGGAGCTGGGGCAACCTCCCCGGGGGCACCCCCGCGTAGGAACAGCGGTGGGATCCGCCAGGAAAAGCGAAGAGCACTCCCCAAAACCCACCCCCGGCACCCCGCAGTGGCCGGGATGTGGCTCCCACAGTCCCAGCAGGAGAAGGGCAGTGGAACAGCAGCAGCAGGGCTTGGCCAAAGCCTCAGCAACCAGAAAGGAGCATTAATAAAGTTCCACTGGGTGTGGGGATTGCCAAGGAAATACAATTTGATTACTTCCCATGCTCTACCGCAGCAGGTACCGCAGCCCAGGGGACACGAGGGATAAGGGAAA